TGGAGGGTGCCAACTGAGGCTGCAAGCGACAGTTGGTGATGATGGCTGAACAAGGAGTGGGCGGGAAAGTGCAGTTGGCGACGGTGTAAAAGACGGAACACAAAATACAACCTGAGGGCAGCCTGCTGTGACTTTGGTAGAGGATGTGTCCAAGATGTATCGAAGAAGCAGTGGTGATGTTATTCACCACCCAAATAATGCTAGCAGCTATCAATGTCAGAATATGATTGCAAGCTGCGAGCGTAACCAGCAATGGTTGATCCTTTTCTTAGCGCATGATGATGGGTGGTGGATCAATTGCCTCTTTGCCCTCCTGCAGCCTCCCCCTTTCCCTCAGCCACATGTGGGGGCGTATGTATTCGCGATTTGCGTGACTATGCATTGCTGACTATTATTGGATCAGCCAATCATTGAGAGTCCCGTGCCACTGCTACGCCACATCACAGGCCTCGACCATCACACGATGGTGGAAGTCTGCCTGCAGGCAAGGACAGGGGTACGAAGACATAACTAACGCCGTTTATTCCTACAATATCTGCATACCCGCAACATCACATTCCCATCGGCATACTCAAAGTCCGTGACATCAAACCTTAGGGAGATTAACACATTCCGGATCCGGAAGGTGCTATTGCCACCTAAACTAAGCCACCACTCTATGGCTCACTCGAGTGATTTCCGGTCAGGATTCCAAGCCGGCAAGGTTGGCTGTCAGCAAGATTTGATGTCACGGACTTTCACCAGCCTCCTCATCCATGCTGCAAAAGATTGGTAAGTTCTCTATTCCATCACCAATGACGCGAATGCAAAACTCAAAGCGCGTCTTTCAAGCCACCACCACCCTCGCTTACATGTTACACAAATGGTCCACAGTCGGAAGGTGCCCTCTCTTGAGTCTTGACGAGAATTTTTGGAACATGCCACGCAAGCCTGTGCCACAACAAAGCAACTGTGCCTCGGGCGGTGCCACTGATGCAAGTGCATCCCAACCAGCCCTCAACGCAGTTCAACAACACGGCCTGATAGTACACTTGGTAACTACCACTTCAAACTACACTGTTCATGTAACGGAGTTGTTGAATCGCCCCGGTTCGAATCCGGGTCAGGCCACTGACATGTTGATCAGATCATTGGTTTTTCTGTCTCGGAAATCATCAATCAGATTGACTGGACTTTGAAACCTTTTGTTGGACGCGTCAGATCCATCAGGCGTCTTGAACATAGCACTCTCTAAGAGCCGAGCTCGGCAAAACTCAGGAAGGGGATGGAAACGATTGTTGGAAGGTAATACCGTGAGTTACATTGGTTGCCGTTGATGACTTGATTAGTTTCAATTGAATCTATGCACGTCGCTTTTATTCGGCAATGCACATTCGCTTTCATGAGGTCCAATAATGCCAGCAAACAGTCACAGCTGTAAGGGCGTTCAAGTCTCTACTCCGTATCATTGCGACAACATCCACCTATGGTAATGAACCGTCATTACAAGGGTAAGGCAAATAGTGATAGTCTCAGCAATTATGAGAAACCCAAAGATTTACAACACTGAATCCGCGAATGAGCAAAATGATGAAAAAGTCAGAATATGGGGTAAGCTAGTGAATAACCCTTCCACCCTTCCCCACCACAAATGACGCGTTCGCGATGGAATCCCTGATATATGAACCGGGACCACAAATTGCCCGAGCAATCAAGCCTCAAATGGCGGCATTGCACCAAACACGTGACATTTCCTCCCGGATATTGCAGCCAATCGTGACGCGTCGAGCTAATTTTTGGTTCACGCAAGGCGGACACCGGAATGCTATGTCGTACAATGTGGTCCAACACGGGTCTCGCTCTCCGCGAGTTTCCTCTCTGTCTCTCAACTTTCCCATCAACCCCACTCTCACTCTCCTACGCTTTTGTAGAAACATCGGAACCGGCTTGACGCTAACCACAAAAAAAAACCGGGCACCGTTCCATAATCTCCTATCCCGTATTGTCTTCCATTCATCTTCGTGGGCTGGGTTTCATTACCGTTGACTCGGGGCACCTGTAAGTATCGACAGTGGAGCCTCGCCATTTCGTTCGGACAACGGGGAAATATCGAAGGTTTTTGGGTTCGATCAATCTCGGGAGAAGAAATTGGTCGTCCCTATCAAGGAGCAGCTCTGAAACCCCACCCACGCCTGGGTGGAGCACACCGGGAGCTGAGCAAAACGAGGGGGTTCAAACCAGAAATTCCTGCCAGTGGTCCATCGAACCCGAGATATAGGAAACATCAAAAGCCTACCACCACAGAAAATCTGTCATCTCTTCGTTCTTCATAAAAAGGAGCCCCATCCTCCGAACCCTTCTTGTCTGGCTGATTGCTCTTCTCAATCCCTCTCTGAACCTCTTCATTTCCTTTTGTTTACAAAGGATAGTCTAATAGAATAAGTGATGCTCGCATCGGCCATAACATCTATTCTCGCCCTCGCCATCGCGGTGAAGGGCGCGGTGCGCACATATGATTTTGAGATTGGATACGTCCAGAATGTGACGGCGGATGACCAACAGGCGAGGAGGGTTATTGGTGTTAATGGGAAATGGCCGTAAGTTGGTGAATTGATGGCACGGTTTGGCTGGATTGTATATTCATGATTGTTTGGGTGTCTGTAGTCCACCGCCTATCGAAGCATGGGTTAACGATACTGTTGTTATCAATGTGGTATGTTAACTGTGTCTTGTCCTTTCCGTCCCATGTATGCGGGGGGTGATAGAAATCATTGTTGACGTTGTCCTGTTTAGAAAAACTCTCTAGATGTTCAAACCGGGCTTCACTCTCATGGTATTTTCCAAAACGGAACGAACTGGATGGACGGGGCGGTGGGCGTTACGCAATGGTTGGTTATTCTTGTCGCCTTGTATTGTCTTGATTACATGGTATTCTGACTAGGTGAAACTCTTCAGTGGTATCCCGCCAGGCCAATCATATACCTATAAATATAATATCACCCAGCACGGAACATACTGGTACCACTCCCACTTCATGGGCCAATACGTCGACGGTCTACGAGCTCCCTTGATTCTCCACCCTGCACAAGAGGCCTACCAATACGATGGAGACTACACCATCGTCGTTTCCGGTACGTCTCTTCACAGGAGGACGCATACTCTCATTGCATCCGAAGAATCTCATCACATCCCCCAAATCCCACACCAGACTGGTATTTCCAAGAATACCAAGAAATCATGAAATGGTTCTTCGACCTCTACAACCCCACCGGGATCGAACCCTCCCCAGACTCCGGCACTCTCCACGTCCTCAACAACGGCACATACGTCGACTCCAAAACCCTCACCTTCACCCCCGGCAAAACCTACCGCATCCGATTCATCAACACCTCTGCGTTCGCCATGTTCCACGTCGGCATCTCCGGCCACGACATGGAGATCATTGAAGTGGATGGTGTGGATGTTAACCGGACGAGCAGTAAAGGGTTTGATATGACGATTGCGCAGCGGTATTCGGTGTTGGTGAAGGCTAGGAATGATACGACGATGAATTTCAATGTTCATGCTGATATGGATACGAGTGTTTTTTCGCCTTTGATGGAGACTTTGAAGTTTAGTGAGTGTTTCAAGGTGTCACACAGTTACAAAAGTAAACCGAACCATCAACTTACACAATCTACCCCCCAGACATGACCATCCCCATCGTCTACAACACCTCCGCCCCCACAACCACCGAAGTCCCCACATGGGACACAACAGACGACCTCACCCTTCAACCCCTCCTAATCGAAGCCTCCGCCGAACCCGACGTATCCCACGACATCGTCGCCAGCATGGCCGTAATGACCGACGGCCTCCCCCGCGCCCAATTCAACGACATCTCCTACGTCATGCCCCCCGTCCCCTCCGTCCTCTCAGCCCTCACAACCGGCGCCGACGCCAACAACAGCGCTATCTACGGCCGCCAAACGAACGCCGTCGTACTCCCGCATAACGCTATGATCCAACTTGTTGTGAACAATAATGATGGTGGACCCCATCCGTTCCATTTACATGGACATGTGTTCCAGATTATGAATCGGTCGGAATCGTTTTATGATCCTAATGTACCGCTACCACCAAACCCTAACCCCGTCCGCCGCGACACGGTCTTCATCCCTCCGTTCGGCTCCGTCGTCCTCCGTTACCGCGCCGACAACCCCGGCGTATGGCTCTTCCACTGCCACATCCAATGGCACATGGATCAGGGTCTCGTCATGGTCATGGTCGAGGCACCCGACGTCTTCCAACAACGATCCAGTAACAACGTTCCCTCCTATCTGACGGATCAGTGCAAGGCTTTGGGGAAACCTGTCAGTGGGAATGCGGCGGGGAAACAGGGGTTGGATTTGAGCGGGGCGCCGGAGGGTCCGTATATGTTGCCGGATGGTTTTGTGACGACGAAGGCGAAGGTTGGGTTGGCGTTTACGATTTTGAGTGCGGTGATGGGGTTGGGGGTTGTTTGGTGGTTTGGGCAGACTAATTTGAAGCAGGATTAGATCTAGACGATGGATGTCTTGTATTAATTATGTGGGTTGGATTGGGCTTATTATTTAGTGTTTTATATTGTATGATGTTGTTTCTACTTGTTTTTTATAATAGTCGGATTGGGTTTTTGCCATACGAGGGCGTTTCGATGGTGTTGAATATGGTCTGACGCGTAGTATTTTGTGTGTACAATCAGCATGCCACTTGTGATATGCATCGGTATGTCTTGGCAGGAGTTGAACCTGCGCTACCGTAAATGGTTGCCTGCAAAGCAGAGACCAAAAAAGAAAGAGAAGTGACGTCTCGGAACCAGAGACGGGGGACCACCGCGTGAACAACGGCCAAACTTGTATCCCCAAAAAGATGCTCTCCCGGAAACGAAGAGAGACTTGAGTAGTTAACCCAAAACTGACAGCCTCATAGCAACCCAAAGCGACAAAACGTGCAGTTATCTCCCATTGGTGAGTTTCCCAGGAACCTTCGGCTGGCGCATACGCTCAACCCACCCTTCGGTATGTGGCGACATGTGGAGCTTTGTGGCGTTTCGGTGACGCAGACGCAATTGGATTGCCGCCCCGGTTACTTGCCGTGTTCGGCGAAGTCCGCCAACCAAGACTCCTTAAGGCTCGGGTTAGCCTTTGGGGCAATATGCAGCGCGCAACCGCGAGGCTCGGACTAGCCAAGTTGAAACGTGATGCGGGAGGATGGAGGACTAAGCAATCTAGAATGGGAAGAATTTATACTTGTGCAGGCACTCCACTGTGAAGCCCCCAAGTTTGCTGAGCTTGCAGTTTGTCGGATACCATCACCGACCGGAACCGTCCTAAATCGGCTCGGGCTAGCCTATGAGTAAGAGCCTTCAGCGAGGAGAGACCCTCGCAATCGGCCATTGCAGCTCCTCTTGAAAATAACAGATTTGCCCAATAGTTCCGCGATAAGATTGTGCACGTCGCTTACAGTGAAGCATCCACACCAGCATCAACACTTCTCGCCAATTACCAAGCTGGTCTTATCCAGTCAATGTCGGATGACAAGCTGGCTGACGCATTGTTTGACAGCCTAGAGTCTGCCCTACCATACATTACCGAACTCGACGAAAACTGGGCGGAACGCTGTCGAAACAGAGCTCAAGGAAAGTCTCCCGGCATATTGAAGTCCAAACCCAAACGAAGCCTTTCCGGCGTGTTGGGGTAGGTACATTCCCTGGTATAAATAGCAGGTGCTCAACATGTCCACTAACAAGCCATCCATCTCCTCCAGCACACTTAGTGACACTTTACTTTGCGAAGGGAACCCAAAGTTCAAGAGTTCGGTAGCGGGAATGAGCAAACTCTTGATGACGGCGTATCATGGAAAGGAAAGGTGACCCCAACGACGGCGATCACAGAGTTTTATGCTGGGATTTGGCGCTTAAGATCACCAAACGGGATTGGGCTGAGAGAGGGTTGGATTTTGATGAGTAGAAACAATACCTGGACTTGGGGGAGAACGTTTGATGGAGCTGTGTTTCGTGGATGTAAATTTGTGCTGTATTAGGTAGACTCTGGTATATTATCTCTGAAGTTCGAGAGAGATCAACTTGGGAGCATTCCCTGGACGAGCTG